GTTTCCTTAATAGATCATGAGTGTTTTGGGATGGTTTTCTAATAATAAAATGTTGATGCATGCTGAAAGAAATTAGGAAAACAATGTTGTTCCAAACCGCTGATTTTTAATTTTAACAATGTCTAATTTAAGAATTTTTAAAAAATAATATTAGGACACAGCTATGATTTTTGTAATTTTCTATTAATGCCCAAACTCCTGGTTTGCTTGTAACTCCTACTAGCAGTGCCCATCTCTGCCTGAAGAAGGTAAGCAGGAAGTGTGGCTGCTGCTTTGTGACAGATTGCTCAATATGTCATTAGGCAAGCAATCAATAGCTTTCTGAGTCTGTGCATGAAGTCTTCAGGAATTTTACCAAGCTTAGTATCAGGTTTGAAACAATATTTCTGAGAAAAGTTTGGACAGAGGCAGAAATGGTGTGGTTATCACATATTTAACATCTGTGACTGTCCACAGCAGGTAAGAGGTGGCAACATGAAAGATGTTCCTCAAGGACTTGGTTCTCATAAAATTGTTAAAAAAGGGCTTTCTCTGTAACCATCAAGCAAGTTCAAACTTGAGGAGAATGGATTTGCTCAGTGCTGAGTGGCCTTATCTAGCAAAATTATGTATCTACTGTGCACCACAGCCAAGCTTAACTTCGCTAAGCTGAAGTCTAAGCACCTGAGGAAGAAAAAAAGAGCATGGCAGAAAGAATGGCATCTAAAATGGACATTTTTACACCCAGGAAAAAAAGAAGATACTAAAATCAGTACTGTTAAGTAGCTGTAGAAAAAAAAAAGAGGTTCATATATAGTTTACAGAACAGATCTTTGGAGAAATACTTTGCTGTCCTCAGAACTGCTCATGATTTACAAGATTTCCTCAGAAAATGTCTTGCATTGAGGGACATGTAAGTCTTTAACCATCTTTTTTTCCCTGTCACTGAGCAGGTACCTGTACATTATCACAGGATGAAAACGTCACGGCACAAGAAAAACTGGTAAGCAATGTGAATGCCACACAAATGCAGAATCCCTTGCAATTTCTGAGGAAATATTCTGTCTTTTCTAGCTAAAACCAATCATCATGCTCAGGGTCAAAGCCTGATGCAACAGAACCATTATGAACATCTTTAGCCGGCTTGAAATGCCGATTGTCTTCATCGGGATTCTTTTCTGCTTAAAATTAAGGAAATCTTTAAGTCTTGAAGAATAAAAAACTAATCTTAGCTGCTTTATGTGATTTTTCAGTACTATGATGGTTTAGCAGTTCAGAGTTGTTGATGTTGTTAGCAGTTGCCCCAAGACGGATTGCTGACTACATGTGCCTTGATAATTCAGTTAGAAACTCACCTTATCACAATGAGATTCTGCCTGTCAGTGGTAGACTATTATATTAAAAACTCAGTCCCCACTGGGACATTTCCAGATTCTTGGAAAGGTATATTTTTATGGAGCAGTATCCTGCTCATTATTGTATTGTCTTGTGAAAGTAGCTTCCCAGTAGCTACTACCTTTTCTACCAGAATACAAGAGATACAAACCAGTGTGAAGGACACTGTGCTTTTGGGGGAGAAAGCACATTGTAGGAATCTTTCCAAAACACTGAGTTTCACCTGATGTCAGGAGCATGTGTGTGGTCATTCCATGCAGCTGTTCCTGACCCAGCAGTCTAAGGAAATGGTTCTCTCTGGGCACAGATCATTAGAGAGGATGGTAGGTGTGCTAGAAGGTTGCTGAGGCAGAGCCTTGCAGGCACTGGGGCCTGTGAATGTAGGGCACAAGTTAAGCCAGACAGAGCTCAACCCACATTTTCACCAGCTGCAAGAATATTGCAGAAGAATCCAGGGCAGATGTTACCCCTGATAAAGCAGTTCTGCAGTGACAGGAGTTCTTCAGGTCATGTTCTCTCCCTCCTCCTCTTACTTCTCAGAGTCTCCAAATCCCTGTGTAACAGACCTGAGATGACATGGGGTGTATTCTAAGAAGGGTGAGGTTTGAATATGTCCAGGTGACACACTGTGAATGAGGGATAAAGCTTAAACATGTATGCACCAACTGTGGCAATGAACATGTGAACTAATTATCCTTAAGAATTATTGTTATTTGTAACATCCCTTTCCAAGGGACAAGGCTGTAGAAAATCAGCAAAAATGCTATGTATTTTCATCCCAACAGTAGTATTAGAGCACAATTACTTTGAGAGTCACATTTAATTAGAATTCCAAACCCTACCAATGTAGCCTTTTGTAAAGGAAACATTGATTCCAAGGTACATTCTATTTTCAAAAGTCAGCAAGAAAAAAAGAAAACTTGACATTATTCCCTTTATAGATTAATTTTGCTTTTATTCATTATTATTAGATCCTGAAAAAAAGAGTAGAGATACTACATTAGGTTACTTTAAAGGATCTAAAATACATCAGTAGCTTCTTCTTCAAAGTTGAGATTGAAAAAGTTACCCTGATCATACCCATAAGAAAAAATGGTTCTAACGCTAAAAAGTTACCGGTTAAAATTTTTACTTGTCTTTCTTCCTTTGATGTAAAAAAAAAAAAAAAAAAATCTTTTGAGAGATGAATATAGACTTAAAAACAGCAAAATTACTTCAAAAATATAGTGGAAGACTTAACCTTTTGACTTCTGCCGAATGTCTCAAAACCTCCTCAAAATGTTCAAGGTGATTCGGTGAAATGAGTTCAAAGCAGTAGCGTCTTATCTGCAACTAAGAGCTGAGACAGCCCTTTTATTTGAAAAGCTTTCTCTGTGCATTTCCATATTCCTCCTCTTCCATTCTGTGACGTTCCATTCTTGCTCTCCAACTCTGCTAGTTCTCCCATCTTTCCCACCTTTCAGGGTTGCAATTCCTGATGGCCCTGATAGATCACTTGTTTCGCTCTGAGCTGAGTCAATCCTTTCTCAGCTGCAGGAGAGAAATTCTGCCTGGGGAAATGCTGTGTCAGCAGAGCCTCCTTTTAGAGGCTTGGAAATTATGCAGGAAAATATGAAAAAAGATGAAAGCAAATCGCTGTCAACACCACACAAAAAAAATGGGCTGGGTTTGTACCAGTTGTGGCTACCGATATGCATATTAAATATCGAAACTGAAAATGCAACATTGAGAAATTCTTTGAAGATTTTTTGAAGATTAGGAGTTTAACATTTGAAAAAAAATGCAAGCAGGTCTACTGAATATTAGACTTTACATTTGCATAAAGGCAGTAAACATATTTAGGCTATCACAGTTACAAGTGGTAATATAAAAATCTGCTCGAAACCTCAAATAATATTACAGAGGGAAATAAAACTGTCATCTGTTTTCATTCTAGTTATTAAAGTCTCACAGTTAATGAACTGAGAGTAGTGTTCTGTGATGATGTTTCAGCTAAAATTGGAACTCTCTGTTGTTAGTTACTACATGTTTGGGGGTTTTTTTTGCTTTTAGGAAAAAAAAATCCTGCTTTCTGAAGTTTACAGTACATACAGGGCATAAGGGCTTTTTACACGGAAACAGTAGCTGGAATATGCTGAGAAAACAGAGCTCAAAAAAGCAATTCTATACGCTGGTCTACATAACTACTGAACTTATGAACATTTAGTGAGGAAACCACAGATTAACAAGGAAGTCATTTAACAATAATGAAATACTAACAATGGTGCTGATGATATTTCTTATAGACTCAGCTACAACTGCATTGAATCAGTTATCAAAAGCTCTAAAATATACAAGTAGATTCAAATATAATTGCTTAAGTTACCGTTAATACAGCTTTCATTTTGAGGTGCTTCAAGCTGGTCACCTCCACATAAAAGCTTTCCAGCATATAATCAGTCCCCTCTGGCCTTTGCTGGCAGGTACAGAATAGACTTCAACTGTCAGCGAAATAATGAAATAAAAACACCTGAAGGAAAAAATATTTTGGAGCATACAGGAAAATGAAAATCGAGGCTTCTCATGAGAGAAGAATAAACCAGCTTCGTGGTTCAGGTGGATCCAGACCTGTTCTTTATTCCCCCTCGTCTGTGGAACACGTCACATAATCCCCTTCCAGACGTGGTACGTCGGTAACATCTGCAGAGAACTTGGACATTCCTGGAAAAACAGCCAGGAATTGGCTGTTTTGCTTTGCTGTGCACTGACTGCAGAGAGTTTCCAATTAGAATTACAGCTCATCAAGGCAGTGCCAGCAGGCTTCTGAGTGGTTAAGCCTCCAATTTTAATTGAACTGCCTTTAGCTGGTGATAAAATCTGTCTTTTTAAACAGGCGAACTGCATAGTTCCCCTAGCAAGTTAAATTCAAGTTGAGTTTGCATTCAGGATAATTACATGGAGTTGGATCTAATTGATTTAGTTGAAATGTGTATTTTGTTCACCAAAGTGCTACAAAATGTAATTCTGTTTTTTCCATTTCCTTTTTCTTCCCTCCTCTATTTTTTTTTTTTTTTTGCCATTGTGTTGTTCTTTGCAGAATAATTAATAAGTAAGGAATAAGACGTGAGAAGAGCTTTCTGGTTGAAAATCGAGGTTCTTCAGATTTTCCATACATATGGAAAATTAGTTTAAAGACTAAACTTAATTCACATTATCCACTTTGTACTGCCAAAACCAATCAACACTGTGCAAAATTTAAAGAAATATATTGCAGTCATTTATAAGAGAGTAATACCAGTGATCACTGGAGTTTTTCCAGCTTCCTACGCAATAAAAGAAGGAACAAGACCAAGTATATTTTTCCAAGCCATTCGCTAACTAAAACATGTTTTTAAAACAAGTCCTCTCCAAGAACATTATGACAAGCTTTAAGGGTATGAAATAATTTCACTCTAATACACAGTCGTGTATAAATAGAAGTATAAAATAATCTGAAGGGGGGGAGTGAAAATGGAATGTAGGCATTCTTCAAATCTCACCACATTAATGAAATTATAAGTATTAATGCAATAACATTCTTAATTAAAGAGGCAGAATAAGGATACCTTTTAACTGTTACAGGCTATTTTTAATATTCACATGGTGTGACTGGGACAATATGGAAATGGCCACACCTGTATGTTGGGTAGTTAAGCACGAAGATACCAGCCTACCCCTAACCAGCAAAACAGGTAAACACAACTATTGCTCTGAGTGCTCCAGTAATATCCTCATTTATGTTATTTATCTTCCTAAAGACCAACAATGCTTTGCTTTCCATCTGCATCGCTGTGCAGACATCTCTGACAGCAAAATCACCTGCCTGTTCCATCCTGGCTCACTTGTCCAAGGGGTGCCATTTAGCTGGAAGGCCTAATTTGCTGCTGATCAAACACATGGACATGTCATTATTTTTCAATGATGGTGAGAAAGCAATTATTGATCTTCAGCTGCTCTAGCAATATTCAGAGTGAAACAAGGATTTTTGAGGCATTCAGCAACAAAGGTTAACAAATGAAGCAAAAATTATCCTCTAACATGGACGTTATTGAAGACATTTTAAAAATCAGATTTGTCTACCCACAATAATCAGCAGTTGAAAGTATGACTAATTATCCCTCTTCCAGCAGGGTGTTGTAATCTTTTCAGGACAGAGGTGTTCAGGGGAGGTACCCAGGCATCACTGGGAGCGCTCACGCCCAGAATACTGCACGTGTCTATTTTCTTAGAACCACAGTATCCTTTCCAAGTTTGTATTAAAGGTTATATCAGATCTTCCACTCGGGATTATCCCTCCATAAGGATGGTCAGTGTGCTTTTGCAACCCCTTTTGTGCTGCTGGAGGAAGCCCAGAGTTGTGTTGTCCGTTGTACTGAGTAAGAAATGAGCACAGCAAAACACATTGCAAAGTTGGAAAGCAATACAATCAATTATTAAAAGGCTTTTTCTTGACTATTTCCCTCACTTTGTTTTATGTTTGCCTTTTCTTTTGCTAGCAGTCAAGTTAGATCTTAATGGAAAACCCATTAAGAAAAGCTACTAGCCTATGAATTAAAAAATGAATGCAGTCCAGTGGAAAAGGAAAACTTAGCAATGAATTTCCAGGGAAAACTTCTTACCTGACACTTAGCAAGAAAGGAATGCAATTTTATTACTTGGCCAGATAGTTCAGATTTCTGTTCACTCTTAGTAAAAACCTTTTTTATAACATTTATAAAACTTTATTACAGAGTTATGAGAATAATATTAGATTTCATAACTCACATGAGATCTGCAGGGACCGGCATCTGTAAGCTTTAAAATCATTATTAAACTTAATGCATCTATTCTGATAAAATGTGGTTTTCTTCTAATTTCTCTGAGAACTCTAACCATATTATTTCTTTCCTTGGACAGGTGGGATTGTCTTTGGCAATAATTTACGAAGTTATTTTATTTTTTAAAAAATCCTATAATTATACTTAGTTGATAAGTTAGTTGGAATTTACAGGCATGTTCTTTTGAGAGACTTAAAAATTAAGGTAAGTTACTGTCTAGTTGATGCCACCTAAGCTTCCCTATGAAATGAGCATGTTTTAGGAAGCTCATTATTGTTCTAGTGAACATGTACAGAGTAACTGCAGACAAGTATTTGCACAGTCTGTCTCAGTAAATAGTTGTGAATTGTATATTTTCTAAATTACATGTACTTAATTAATACTATTTAATTTTGACATCTCTAGAATTAAGTGACAGGAACATTAGGAGGTATTCCCAGTACTGCAGGAGATGTACCTGCCTGAGGTACAATTAACAGAGATTCCTCCAGAGGAATATTCAGAGTTTGGAGCCTGATCCAGGCTCTCCAAACCAGCCCCTGGAGGATCCTGCTGCTATTTATTTTACATACAACTGGAAGGGATCAGCTGCACAAGTTAGATTTTTCAAGGATGTACCTAAACCTAAGTGGTACAAATATCTCCTCACAAGGAATTTTTGGAGAGTCTTCCTGCAAATCCCATCTCCCTTGTTTTGAAGAGAGTATAAAGATTTAAATTTTATTTTCCAAAACGTGTATTCTTCTGAAAAGGGCAAGTCTTAGTGTAGTTCTAGATTTGAAAAGTGCAGGTAAATTAGCATGAATGATGTCATTCACCTGATATTAAAAAAACTTCACTTGTTAACACAGACTCCTTTGGAAAATTAAAAAATGTTATATCATCATCTGCATAATAGCCAAAATTGTTTTTAAATTAGATACTTGGCAAGATCCTCACCAGAGGTAAATTAGAAATATTCCAGTTAAGTCAACCAAACTATGACTTTAAACCTTCTAATTGAAAACAAATCTGTTTCTTTTTTGGGCTGTTTTTCTGAACTTCTGTATTGTACAGATGCCAGGATCCATTAACCACATTATTCTGAAAATTCCTCTCTCTGCAGTTCATCTCTGAGTTCTGTTAAGTAAGGCTGCACAAAAGTGGTTATCCAGAGGGGAATATACAGATATTTATCTCCAGAATCCATAGCTGAAATAATTTGTTCCCCTATTTTACCCAGAAATTTAATATTCAGAGTCATGGCTATGCCAGGCTCATCCATCACAAGTTTCCAGAAGCAATATGCAGAAACAGCAAAAAATCTTGGGTAGAGATTATTCAGATTAAAAAACCTACAAAAAAAATCCCCAAATCAACCAAACAAACAAACAAAAAAAAAAAAAAAGAGAGAGAGAAAGAAAAAGGAAGTGCAATTTTAAAAAGGAGAAATAAGGGATAAGGCAGAAAATTCTCTAACCCTTTTCCCTACAGTGTGAAAGTAAACACTGAAGGAGAACATATCCAAAGGTAAGGCTAAGCACTAGAATTTGGAAAACCAAGACTCACATTCCTCATAGTCGTGGATGTCTGGGTACAGCTGTCTATAATTTGTTTCAGATCACAGCCTGTTTCCAAGATGAAGTTCAGCTGTCTTTATTTATTAATTGATTTTAGTAGAATTAGCTACTCTTGTGTTCCCTTCTTTGATTATGAGTTTTCTCAAAATCATGTGTTTTCATGGGAAAAGTTTTTGACGTGTGACATAATATAACCTTACACTGAAGACTGAAGTGCTAGGACATACTTAGATTCCAAAATTCACTACTGTGGGTAACATACATCGAGATCCAAACCACACCTGAAATGGCATAATTGGTTATACACATTAGGGATAAAATTTTAATGCAGTTTAATGCAATTTTTAACATAGCCTTGATAAAGTTTTTCCGAATGCAGGAAAGCCTTGGCTGGAAGCTATTGTTCCTCAGCTTGTATTATTTAGTATGGTTTAAGGAGACATAACTCAATAGTCTAGACATGTATTTTCATTTAAATAATTTTGATCTCATTATTCTAGGTTTTGGTTAAAGTTTTTATGGTATATTAGGAAAAAAATTTAATCACAAAGGAACAAATAGGAAATTCTTAAAAGTCACTTTGATTCTATGTTAGATCTCATTATTAAAAGTATTAAAGAGAAATCATTTTCTACAGGGAAAAAAAAGCTAGATTTGATGCCCACAGTGTTCTATTACATAGATAGCAGCAAGTGGACAATGATAAGTCTCTGATCTTCATATTATTATAAGATAATTGAAGTTGATGGGGTTATTCTAATGTAACTGAGAGGAGAGTGAGGCCTAGCCTTTTGAAATGTCTATTTAAAAAATCATTACAGCAGTTTTAATAAGAGAAGTTTCTGTAATGACACATAATTTTGGTTATTCCAGAAGGCTGGACCCCCTGACAGATAGGAGATTTACTGAAATTTCCCAGGCATAAAACTGGAAACATTATATAGGCGTGACAGGGGGAAATGTGGCTTCTCCTTTTGGAAAACTGGTAGTCTTAAAATTATTTTAAAACGCGATTTCAAGGCAGTTAGGATGTGGAGATTCATACTCACTACACAGCTTTTTTGGCCATAAACATTTATTCCAAGCTGATAGAAAAGAACACCATGGATTTCTCTGCAGAAAATAGGAGTAACCAATAGATATCAAACAGTCTCCAAGTAAAAGTATATGTAACTTTTTACATCCAGTCACTGTCTACCCTGAGGTGTGGGCAGTGGAGACCCTGGTACACTCATAGGGGCACTCAAGGGTATTCTCCATGTATTTCATTTACATCAGTCAACTAAAAGTTAATGAGAATGACTCCCCCAGAAAGAAAATGTAAGTGTATGACTTGTTGTCAGTGGAGTTGAACTACAAAGCTGCTTAAAAGCTTTCCTGAATCGTGATCTTATAACTTTAATTTTCATGTGGTGTATTAATTGAAGAATTGTTCAGTCTTTTTTCCCAAATAACCATAAATAATAGCGCTTTCAGTGACAAAATACAGTGAGATCTATCCTTTGAAATTTTTTTTCACATAGTTTACTTTTCTTTATAGAAGTACCTGTATTTAAATGAGAAGAAGCAGGTGCTTTCTCCTATGAGCAAGGCTTTCAAGAATAAAACAATTATCAATAACAACATGACTTTTATATTGGGAAATAATTTCAATATCTATTTATGTATGTTTGCAATATGCCACCTAGAGTTACTGCAGGATCTATACACAGTAATTTCTAGCTTTTTGAAAGTGTTAAACAAGAAAGACTAAATGTGGTTGGTTTCTTTGGCAAAAAAATCAATTCTCTGTATGTTATGTCTTGATTACATGGTTATTAACCCCAGCGATAACTAAATTTAGCACAGATGTATTATGTATTTCTGTACTATTGTTGCTATGTATTTATTCTTTACTGTTTAAACTTTCTTTTCCTTTGGAGATGGAGCTTTATAAAGCTTAGCTTACAAGGCTTATAAAGCGTTAGAAATTATTTGTATACAAACCTTATAATATTTGCAAAGTAAAACTAGAAAGATGTGATAGAGTGATAGAAGGTGATGGTGTCATGGGCTCAACACCCCAGTCCCAGCCACTCTGGTGACATCAGCCTGAGCCTTGCCCGGGTTTGTTCCAGCTTCAAGGTGTTTGGAGGATCTCCAGGGAATTTTTATTTGATATTAATATTTTATTTAGCGCTTGACTCCTTTGGATACACTAAATTCATGCAAAATCTCAAATGCATAGAAACAACACGTGCTGTAAGAAGCCACGGCTTTTTCTCTTACTTAAATCATAAAAATAGTTGATTTATCAAGTTCAAGGAGAGACCAAACCTTTCTTCAGAGTTTCAGCTACTCTGATTTAGTGCCTGATCCCACACCTCTTTAAAGAAATACAAAACCTTAACATATTGTCATGTTTAGTGCATCTCTATGTAACAGAGATTCTTACTGTTATTTGGTTCATACTGTAGCTTTTATTATACTAAAGCTATTTTATTGGTTTCATTAAATTAGAGCTATTGCTTTAAAGCTGATATTAAAACTTGTTTCTGATAATAAATGTAGCTTTCTCTGCAGGAAGAAGAGCGTGCTCTTGGTCCTGGTCCTACTAGAAGTAAGTGAATTGTACCAATTCCTTCTGATATTTTTGTTACTTCTTTTGAGGTAATAATCCTTGAATAAACAGAGATTATTTCCTTTTCTTTTCCATTGCAATCTTCAGAGGTTCTGTCATCCAGGAACTTGCAGGAGTGGGCTCAGAAGGAAGACCCCAAAATATGAAAGGTTAAGAAATTCTTTTTCCTTTAAAAAAAAAAAAAGGATTAATAGGATTCAAGCTGGTTTTATATTGATCTTATTACTTGTAAGATTCTCTATAGTATATTAAAAGCTGCAACTGTTATTAGGAAGACAGCAAATGCACCATTGCATTTCTGAAACACATCAAGGGGAAGTACAACACAATACAAGCATATTATATGTACATATTTTAAAATATAAGTGTCAGGAAATAGTATTTGCTACTCTAATATTTAATTTCTGTAACAGCACACACAAAACACCAAGAACGTTTAGAGCCACTGAGCCCAACAGTGCGGCAGCAGTTTTTTGTTCGGAGTCCTTAAAATACAGAATAATGATCATTTATAGATTTTTGCCTTATCCTGACATCTCAAACTCAAGCCACCAGAGTGGCCTATAATGATAGTAGAGAGAAAGCAGACTTTTAAAACTAAAAAGAAGATACTATTAGGAGCCAACACATATCTTTTGGGTTGGTTTGTTGTTTTTTTTTTTTAATGGCCATGTGGTGAATAGGGAGGCTGTGCCACGTATGACTCCATCCTGGCACAGGGCTGATGCAGCACTGAAAAAGCCCTTCAGACTTAATTAGTCATTTTTTTATTATTATAACAGGGGCGTGTTCCAGCTGATACCACAGCCCAGGAGCACTGAGTGCTGGAAACACGTGGAACATCCAGCTCTGCAGAGCAGCTCCTTGGAGTCCAGCAGTTGGGTACGTGCTGTAACTCTGCTGAAGTAGTTGGTCAGATTATTGTGTGTCCTGCTCTGTGCTCACTGCGCTCCCTTTGCTCTTTCCTCCTCAGACCTCCCCCTCGTTTCACAGCTGGATCCTCTCACTCTCCGCACCTTCATGTATCTAATTACTTTTGGTGTCGGTCTGCAAACAGCCAGGGATGTGGGCCAGGGGGCAAGGGCACTGTTACCGAACTGACACCCTCTCATTGCCCCAAACCCTCTGCTCTCGCCCGGCGCTGTGTTGGACTGTCGGGCTGACGGGGGGACCCGGCAGTTCAGGGGATGACGCGGCAATTTCAGAGGATGACTCAGTAATTTCAGAGAGGCGGCCCCTCCCGGCCTTTCCCCTTCCCTCCGGAGAGGTGAGGGAGCGCGTTGCATTCGCGGGGCACATTCCCCTGTTCCCTCCCGGGGGGTTTATTTTACACCACAGGGCAGCGCTTCCCCCTCATGAGGGACGCGCCGCCCGGGCTGGGCCCGCCCCGCCGCCGCCGCCAGGTGGCGCCTGAGCGCCGGGCCCTGAGGGGCCCTTGTTGGCTCGTCCGCTCTGGCTTTGAAGACTCCGCCAGGATTTATCCCGGTTGTTCCCAAACGCATCAACACAGCTCGTCTGTTGTTTGTTTGTTTGTTTGTTTGTTTGTTCGTTCTCTGGTCCAGAGAGCTGTTTCGTTCCCTTGGGAGCTGAAGGAGCACTTCCGCGGGCTGTGAAAGTGCAGGGAGCGCCACGGGCGCTGGGCAGGCTGGTTAGTAAAGGTTTTGTGGTTTAGCGTCTCCCTGAAATCTTCTTGGACAGAGGAAAATATATTCGTGTCTTAATATATATACGGTTGCGCTGAGGCTTCACTGACTCACGTTTATTTCAAGCGTGAGCCCATGAGCCCCTTTGAACACAGTGAATTACACGGGAATTGCGTTTATTCCCCAGGGGTTGCTTTGGGAGTAGCAAGGCTGGAGGGCACGGGTGGGCATTGGAGTTGGGTGGGCAAATTGTCCTGGTTCTGGTCCAGATCAGCCAGAGGGGGCATGGCCAACACCCTGATGTTATTCGATACCATCTTACATCATTGCCGGGGGAAAGGGGATTCCTTGGCTTGGAAAAGAAAGGATGTTCCTCTCTGGTCGTGGACGCAGGGTCTGTCCACCATTGTTTTTAATCCTCCAAGGCTTGGTGAGCATTCTGCGTATAAATGACCCTCTCTTTGTACACTTCTGTTATTGATATTGTTGCTGTTACAGTTTGTTTTCTTATGTTATTGCTGTGTCCAGTAAATTGTTCTTTTCCCAACCGGTGATCTTTGCCTTTTGTGCTTCCATCTGGAGGGGTAGGGGAAGCGAGTGTTGGCGTGGTTTGGATGGGAGCGCTAAATTGGGAATACCATTTCTCAACCATGACACATCAAATATCACTGAAATACTACAGAAGAAGTGACCTTCTTCCAGGTGACCGTGCCTTTTGGTGTGATGCTTTTTTTTTTTATTGGAAAAGAACCCCACCTGCTTTTGATGTGAACCTTCCCTTAAAATGATGCATTTTGGGGTAGGACATGGCTCTACCACTGTCAGCAAACACGGAACAAATCTGTGCATTTGGGGCTGAAGGACTGATTACAAGGCAGGGAGCTGGGGCAGACCTTCTCTATTTACATCATATTCTGGCACTGCATTTTCTTAATGTGTTTTCTCTTTTCTCTGCCTGCTATAGGCAATTTATGTTCTGTGAGTGCTCTCCATTGAGTCAAGCATGATCTGGGCTTCTACTTACAATTTCTAGGGAAGTGAACATACGTGAATATATAAATGGCTAAATCATTTTGCATTGCTAAAGCTGACAGTAGGTATCATTCTCAAATTGCTCTTTATTCTGTGTGATGAGACCTTTCTTCTCTCTCTTTGCCCCTTGGGCACACCAAAGTTATTAACCGTGGGGAAATCATATCACCACCACGTGATTTCTTTAAAAATCATCCAGCCAAGGAAGTCACTCTTCTTATGGTAATAAGAAACAAGTCCATCACCTGATGTTCTTTTCATAACCCTAATTTAACTGCTTGAGGGGAGACAGTCTGATTTAAGAACAACTATTTTAATTAGCTTGTGCCATTAAATTGTTTGAATTTAAGCATTTTTTCTTTTTAGAGGGAAGCTTCAGTGGTAATGAGATAAATTTGACTGTATGAATATGTCTTGCATTTGTTTAAGCTTTACGTTTCTCATGTGTGTAGTCAGTTTTCATGCACATAAACTGTGGAGCAGATCAGCTACTGAAATGGAGCATAACTGTGCTGACAGCAAAATAGCTGCATTTACTTGTACCAGCTGAACATGTGTCCCCTCATGTCAAAATTTAGATGTGATTTATCTTTAAGTAGAGGACAGCGTGGCTTCCTGGTCAGATACAGGAAAATTGTCAGGAAATGAAAATTTTCATTTCTGCCCTGGTCCCAACTTCTTGTGTAACCTGGAGCAAACATAGTTACCTTGCACTTTGTCTATTGATTGAGGATAATTCTTTCCTCTCTCACATAGGTATTATTAAGTTTAATTCAGTGATACATAAAATGGGATAAATACTTAGATTAGTTGGTATGCACTGTCAGTCAGACTATGAAAATAGATACATTTTAAAGCTGTGGGCCAGCTCCTCAGCCAGGTTAAGTTGAAATGGTTTCCTTAAAAGCCTGAAGGTATGTAGGTTCATAGGAGCTGAAGGTCTGATCCATATGCATTTCTTAAGAGGCCTTCTGTAGTTCAGCCTTTACAAGAATATCAGGGTTTGCATATTGGAGATGCTGTAAAGGCTGGAAGGAATCTGTAAATGTTACTTATTAATGGTCTCTATTAATAGAAGGAAAAAAGCTCGTCTTAAATTTTTCAATTTAATGCATTTAAAGCTGAAGTAAATTTGATTCTGCTGGCTGCACAGAAGTGAAATAGGTCACCATCACTACTGTGGTGGGCTTTTTTCCTCCTTTGCTTTGACAACACTTTGCAAAGCTTGAGGAGAAAAATTACACGCAGCTGCAGTATACTTACTTTAATTACAAAAACCCCAAAACAAAGCAAAAAACTATGTCTGTGTAATCTAAAGGAAGGAAATAATAAAGCTGAGGGAAAACCGAAGTATCTGCAGGCTACTTGGCTTTGGTAAAATGACTTTGTGTTCAAAATATATACTGTACTTGCCCAATAGAATGTAAAATATTTATTTACTCTGTGGTGCTGGGTGACCCACTTATTTCTGTCCCATATTAAATGGTGAGGGGCACGAACACTATCTCCAGGTGAATATTTTGCTGTTCTTCAAGGCTTTTTGTCCTTGTCAAATATCCCACAGCTTCTGCATATGGCTGAGCTATTTTCACTAGATGTGGTTAGGTGAGAAAATTAGTTTTGGCCCGTGCCATGTAGACTTCTAAGAGAAAAGGCCTGAGGGGGAGATTTTATTTCATAACCCTTCACACCCCTGCTTAGCAATCAAGTGCTTCAGTGCAGCCAGAAATGGCTTTGTGCAGCTGTGAAAGTGTTGGTTGGTGTGCAAAGGACAGTTCAGCTCAGGAGCTGGCCAACAGCAGCACCTCCCTCTAGTCCTGGACTGGCAGAACTGGGTAGAGAGTCTACACAACACTTCTGCTCTGGAGCCATGCTGTGTCTTTACAGTCCTTTGGGGTTTTGCCTGCCACACTTTTATCCAGCTCAGGGCAACAAGCTGCTGTTTCACAATCCATACAAAAATGGATGGTTGTAGAGCAGGGATGACACTCAGCAGAGCATTTCATGTTCAGCTTCGAGTTCTATACATACACAGAGCACCTGTCTTCTACTTCTCAGTTTACTTACACCCTCTGCTAATTCTTTATATTTGATCAATCCATTTCTTTTCAGTCCCTGTGACCAACAAAGGGTGTCTGGGTGACAGAGTAACAGAGATCATTTGTTCCACAGAAATGTGTTGTCTGTTGTTAGTACAGGCTGGTGATACTGCAAACATCAGGATATTAAGAGTGAATAATGAAAGAGGTTGAATGCACTCCATTTACATACAGACTGGTGGATTGTGCTGGCATTAGCTTTAGGATATCAGTGTTGGAATACATGTAGGAAGATGTTGTTGTCTCCAGACACCTTGTCTATAGGCAGATACCCACCCACATCAAATGAGGAAAGAGCAGGAGGGAGAATAAGGTGGAAACTGCAAGTCTACACCAGGCAATAATAGAAAAAACTATGCTGATTGATACTTGAGGA